CAGTGCGATAATTCGAACCCTGACGCTGAGGTTGAAAGCCAAAGTCTTCGGAGAGGCCAGGGTCGAGCTTACGGCGCTGAACTGCACGAGCGCGCCGTTCGCGATCACGGTGGCCCGGCCCGCGGTAACCCGAGTCTCGAGCGTACGCGATTTGGACGTCGCGAAGCTTCAATTGTGCAAACAAGGCAAATGCTACACGCACGACGCGAACCCGGACGCTTCTGTAGATTCCCTGAGATGGGCGCCCGTCGCCGCGTTCTCGAAACACGCAAGAACGGGCCCCGTGAGCGAACTATGCGGAGAGTGACAGGGTCGTGATTCTGCTAGTGTTATTGGGTGACGACGCGACGACGACGGTATCATCCCTGATCGATCTCTTCAGACGAGTTTCTCCGCTGTGCGGCACCGACTGTAATTTCTGAAGAATCGTAGTATAATTTTGTGATGTGTATTGAAATCTGTGAATGTACATATTGAAAAGGCTGTGTAATAAAGAAAGAATAATAAGCCAAGACAAACTGTCGAATGTTTCTATGTTTTTTTTTATTTCGTGATCTACAAAATCATAGTACAGTCGAAGCCTTGGGTGAACCCGAGCACTCCCGCTGCTGTCATAATAACATAAGAGGAATAGTACGCTCCCGCTCCAAACACCGCGGTGGCTACGAGAGCGATTTGTTTGCACCGAGCTATTTTTCTTTCCTCCTCTCTGATTCTTTCTTCGCTTTCTCTTCGTCTTCGCTCTTCCTCCTTCGCCGTTTTCATTCGCTCCTCCTGTAGCTGTACCTGGGCTCTCTCGTACATCTCGTTTGTGTAGTGACTCCCTCCGTTAAACCTCAGCATTGTCTCGATCTTCCGTAAAAGTCCCTTGACCTGTTCTCCATCCCGCGGTGGCCGGGAATTGCCGAACGCGTGATACCTTCCTCCGCACTGGTTTACCAGTCTTTTCAGATCCTTGCTATCGTTCAGAAAGTCGTCCACGGATTTGCCCTCCAGTAAGTCGGCGTGCGTGAACAGGACGAGGCTGTACATGGAAGCGTCGGGTCCGAAATTGTCCTCGATCCAACTGACGGTCGCCTTCTCCTCCTCTGTGAATCTCGACTTTAGACTGATGGCCAATAAAAAAGCGTGCGGCCCGGGAACCGAGCGCGTAACGCAGTCCCGGATATTTTCCTTCACCTCGGCTCGCGTCTTATTCGTGTCGAACAGTCCCGGAGAGTCGATAACGGCGATGTTCCAGCCCTCGTCTTTAACCTCTTCTCTGCGGCATCCGCGAGTCACGGACGCCGGAGACATGCCTTCTTTTAAAGGCCCAGGATAGTGTTCCCCGAAGCGCTCTTTCCCGCTCCGGTCTTTCCTACGATTATGAGTCTTAATTCTTTGAGCTGTTGAGCGAAACCCCCTGCTAGCGTAATAGCAAGAACGAGAAACCATGGCCCCATCGTCAAAGATTTTTATTGAGGCGCTCATCAGGCGCTGAGATAAATCTTTGTCATGAAGGAAAGTATTTTCTCCAATACAACAACACACCAACCACACGTACGCATAACCATCGATAATATTATTTTTTTATTGAGCACAAAAATACACATGAGCATCAACGATATTTTGTAACACGAAAGAAAATCATGCACATCTAGGCAATAAACTAAAGAAATCATACACATCAATAAACTTTCAATGTCACAAGTCCAATGGTCCAACTATGAGAAGTCCACCTCTAAACGTTGTCGTTTGGCCTCGGTGCTCCCAATTCGCCTCCGTCGCGGCGAATCGAAGCGATCATCACCCTTGGTAGTACTCTCATTCTCGCCTTGCGGTATCTGAACGGCTTTGGCCAATTCCTCTAAGTATTGTATCATGCGAGCGCTCTGCGGACCCTGTCCCCGTGTTCCCTTGGCTCGTTTTGTGGACGAAGAAGAAAGCATCGCGGTGGCCGTTCGGTCGTCGCTCACATGCGAACCTCGTCTTCGCTACGATCGTCTTCGCTATCCGAAGCGACTGACTCTTCCTCCTCCTGGACCTCGCCTTCAGCGAGCGAAGGTTGCGTCGCGGCCGCGGCTTCTTCTTCTTCTTCTTCTTCCGAAGCGTCCTTCTCTTTATCCTCTTTTCCACTCAAAGCGTGCGAAGGGGTTTGGTCACCACCACCACCTCGTTCTTCCCCGATTGTCGCGTGATCGACTGTCTCTTCAGGCACGTCGGGCGAGCGAGCCTTGTCGTCTCCGTCCGAGTCCTGACAACTACTACAGCTGCTGCTGCTCCTTCTTGATGCGGCGTCGTCTTCTTCGCTCTCTCTTCCGCGTTTCTTCTCGGTCCCCGCGTCGGTCTCGGTCCCGCTCCAAGCGGCCGCGGCCTTTTCTCTTTTTTTTAACGAGGTCGTCGACTCGACACTCGATCGACGCTCCTTCTCTGGGATAAGTTTCTCGAGCGGAGCAGGAGAAAGACCTTTGGGTTGTTGCGAAGTAATGAGACCGGACCGTCCGGGGTTCGGTTTTATAATATCCGGGGTTCTTTTCGGACTGACTAGCTTCGATCCTCTTTTTCGGTCTTCCTCGCTTTCGCTGGTCCAAAGCGAAGAAAGACCTTGAGGCCGTCGCGGCGGCTGCGAAGTGCTGGGACCGGGGTTTGATGTTTTTATATCCCTGGGTCCTCCCGGATTAACCCTCGATCCCCCTCCTCTTCCCCTTTCTCCACTTTCGCGATGCGCCGAGGTCGACGGGCTTCTTCTTTCCACAAAACGAGATGGTTGGCGCTTGTATTTTTTGCCGATCGTCATGCGATACCTTCTCTCCTCGTCTGAATCCAACGGCAGTGCCCGTTTGCGTCCCTTTCTCAGCGACTCAGAGACGTAATCTCGACCCTCATCCGAATCCAACTCCCGACTGTATCCCGGGTTCGGTTTAACATCGCCTCTCCTCCTCGATTTAGCCTCGGATTCCGCAAAGTCGTCATCATCGTCAGAATCCGAGTTCGGAAAAAATGCGATGCGTGAAGATCCTCCTCGGCTAAGCGCTGTCCTCTTGTTTTTACCAACGTCCGTCGTTTTTTGTCGTTTCTTACCGACGCGGCGGCGTCGTCGTCTTTCATCTTCATCGCTGCTACTACTGCCGCAGGTTTCGATGGGGTCATCGTCTATGAACTCGTCTTCGTAATCGTAGTCATCGGGACTGCAGTCCGACGTGGTCACCAGGTCCTCGCCTCGAACCTCCGTATCCGTTTCCATCTCGCTTTCTGCGCTTCCGCAGCTCGTCTCCTCGGCTTCGCTCAAGCGCATGTTCTCGGGTCTCTTTCGGCGTCCGGCGCGATCTCTCGGATCCCTAGGAGCCTCACGGTAGCCGCCGTACCGCATAGGAGCGGCGGAACTCTTTCGTT